GTTTATGTATATTTTTTGAAGACTATCATAAGGCTATCGTTGGGCTGTGATAGACCTTATGATAGTCTTCAAATGCACGTTGCATCTGAAGACTATCATAAGGTCTTTAGATGCAATGATTGTAAAGATTTTTTTGAAATCTTTTACCAAAAGAAAAAATGTTGAGAAGTACTGATTTACTGGTCAGAACTTAGTCTTTTTTCGTCGTTCTGTTTTCTTTTTCATCTTTTGGACAATTTTTAGTTAGATTGCCAAAATATAAATGGCTTACCTTTTCTGGGCCTTTATACTGTTTTCCAATGATTTTTTGCGATCGATCTGAAGTCAACCGCTTTCGATGCTTTTTTTTAAAAAAGGTCAAACAATTTTTTCAAACAATTACTAGGTTCTCAATTGGCAAGTTTTATTGGAAAAAATTTTCACCAACAGTGGATTGATCGTTTTCCTTTTCAGAGAGGAGTTAATTTTTAGTTAAAAAGCGCATAGATTTTAAATTTAAGTCTCAAAACATTTTCCAATATGCAGCCAATAACTTGAAAACTTGAAACCGTTGAACTGAATTCGACCAACTCTTTTGATTTTATCAATGCAGATGCAATCTTATCTAAAAAAGCTCAGCATAATGTATGGCATGACCAGTGGCGTGCGCATGCTTTTTAGGGTGGTGGTTTGATCGAACAGTTTTTTCTTCAAATTGATTTTACGAAAAGAATTAAGATTTTGCCAAAAACATTGGGAATAAGAATTGAAATCTGCAGAAATTGTAGCAAAATGCAATATTTCATTAAATAAGCTATTAAAATTAAAAACTGAAACAACTTACTCGGCAAAATAAATTACTCGTGACCGGCGCGAGCAACGAAAGTGAACCCCGGCCTGGCGCAATCGAAGCAACATCAACCGCAACCGGCGGGACCCAAGCAAACTGTCCGCTAGCGGTCCCACATTCTTCGCTTAAATTTTGAATTTGTAAAAAATGGCAATTTTTTATTGCGTGTCATCATAAGTAGTTTTTTTGCCAATTAATCAGTACTACCTTCCTTGTTTTTATCAATTGCTAATTTTTTCAACCATAACAAACTACCCGAGCTTGGCATCGTAATGAAGAAAATTGTATTTCGGTTTGTTTTTAATTTCCTTTTTACTGTAAAGCTTACTTATTGTGATACCTATTCCTCTTAAGCCAATCTTTTCCACTAGAATAGTAGCATCTCGGACCTTTTTATGATCAAGTATAGCACAAACAAACTGATCACAGATTCGCGACCGGGATTGTATCGACTAGCATAAAATTCAAATATTGTCAAAAATATTATCCTTATATCCTCAAAACATACATGAATCACACTTTTTTCAGGTTTTTTTTTCACATTGCGAAAAATAAATCTAGCGAAATTATGCTAGTCGATAGATTTTCATGATTTCAAACTTTTATGCTAGTCGAGATTTTTGCTAGTCAAACAGTCGCCTCGCAGCCTTTGCCGAGACTTTTATGACCAATTTTGAGACATTTTCTAATCATTTTCAGGCTATATTGAGTCTAGCCGCACTAACAAAAATGGTTTTGGATTGATTTTAATTGATTCTATATTGAAGTGGATTGATTTTAAACTGAAATGGATTTTAAATCGATTTAAATTGATCTTTTTGAAAATTTTGGATCAATTTAATTTTCAAAAAAAAAACAATTTAATTAATGTGGATGGAATTTTTTTTTGTTGAAATCCATCCGAATCTTGCCAAAAACCATTTAATTTTAGTTTAAAAGACGCCTGATCCGATCAATTTTAGTGTCTGAAAAATTTGTTTACGCAAAAATCTATGTAAAAAGTCAAGAAAAGAACCAAACAAATCAGAGCTTGAATTCAAAAATGTTCTATAAAATCAACAAAAATAATCAAAGTAAACCACATTCTGAGCAAAAATTTATGCAACAAATCATGAAAATGGTCAATATAAATCATATAGCTACTTAAATCATTCCAACTTCAAACATCTTGAAATTTTAAACAATATTTGGTGTTTTTATTATGCTACCAGACTCTATGGATGTTAAATTAAAGTGATTGACTGTGATAAAAAGCAAAATAAACTCAAAACTGATGAAATCAAAAAATTAAAAAAAAACTGATTTAAGTTGATCTCATTCCGTTTTAGTCCCCCTAAAAGCAAAAAAAAAGAAAAAACAAAGATCAATCGACTTAAAATCAATTTGGATCAATTTTTGTAGCTGGGGCTTAAAATCAGTTTAAATTGAAAATATAAATTGATCCAAATCAATAAAAACTTATTTGATTAATCTTCATACTTTTTTCATGCTAAAATCAATTTCAATTATTCATCATACATTTTTTATGATAAAATGGATCTTACTCCATTTTTGTCAGTGCGGAGCTTCCAGACTATTGCGACTAACTTCCACAAAATCAAAAAAAATCTAGGCCGTCATTCGATGTTTTCGGATTTTTTGCGCCGAAAAAAACACCCACACTGTAAATTTTAAATCACGGAATGACATCTGACGCAGAACAGGAGCCAGGAGGTGTGAAAGTTCTCAATTTTTGGTTGACCGTTTTGACCACAATGTGGCATATTTCGATCTTCTCGACCAAATATAGGCCTACTCAAATTTTTTCCCGAACTTTTGATTTTTCTTCTAGCTTTCTGAAAGCCATTTAAAAAAGTAATTGAACTATAATTTTTTTTGCGAATTAAGCTAAACATGGGTGAAAACAAGCTAAACATGTGTGTTTTGTCAGCTTATTGGCTGTCGGTTGTGACTTTGGTGGCTTTTCTACCTAATATTTTGTATCGTACAAACTTCTAGTTTTGGTTTTGAGATCGATAAGACCCTGGCTCTTTGTTTTCTAAAGCTCATTTTCAATCTCACAAGGTTCTTTCGAATAAAAATTTCAATGATAGCAATCATAAAAAACTTTTTTTTTCATTTTCAAAATTTTTGCTTTCCTAGTTTTTTTTTGTTCCTGCTTTCATAGCGAAAGTAACTGATCTTTTGTGCTCGGGTGGTTTTTTTCCTTCAGACAAATTTTGACTTTTTGACTAGCCAGTTTTGGTGGAGTTTTTAAATATAATTCAAGAGGTATTGTTGTCTTGAGCTTAAAACTCAAAAGGTATTTCACCTGTGATAGTTTTATGAAAAATTATGGGGGTTCAAAGATCGCCATTTTGGCCAATTCGGGACAATTAACGCGCGATATATTTCGCGCTTTTACCGTCAGAGCGGAGATTTAAAAGCGTCGTAAAAATTGTTCCAAATTGGTGGAATGAAGCTTATTTGTCATATTTTATTGGTTACTAGGAGCGAAATCTATCACTTTGTACTCTATATGGCGTGGGGGGAATTATGTTCACAAAAATTTCAATTTTAAAGAAAAAGTTTAGTTTGTTACATTCTATATGGCGTGGGGGGAATTATGTTCACAAAAATTTCAATTTTAAAGAAAAAGTTTAGTTTGTTACATTCAATATTTTCATGTAATTACTGTTCCATAGACTTTAAATGGCAGTCGGAACATTCAAGGCTTCGCCCTGATACGAGCAGTCTTGTACAATTTTGTCTTTTCTCGAAGTCTTGTTTGATACTTCTCCAGCGTCATGCTGTTTTAATCTTATACTTGTAGTATCGCAAGTGGCGCAAAGCTCAGCTTCGCCTCTGTGTTAAAATTGTTTATCAAACACTAACAATGTGGATTGCAACTTGAAAATCATTCAAAAGTCTTTGTAAGCTTTGCAATGGCCATTAAAATGCATTAGTATGTGTTATGAAAACTAGACTGACATTTGTTCTTCTATTTGGTTAGCAAACAGTCGGAAGCTGTCATGACGTATCGTGGAGCTGCAATAAAGGGAGGGGGGCTAATTTCATGACTGTAGCACCGATTGGACGAAAATTTTCAACCGTCAACATACATTAATCTATCAAAATTGACTAAAATTTTCGCTTGGTTTCGAAGTTTTGAAAACTCAATTCTTATTGGCTGTCATAATTTTAGGCCATTCACCCCTCGGCCATGAGAGATGGCCCACTGCCAAATGTGTTGACAGGAATTTAATAACCTTTTTCGCGGCTATTAGTTGGTATATTGCACAGTTATCGTCTTTCGTTTTTCTCCTCCAATTTTGTTCTGACACCGATCTTCGATCCAAAAAAATTTGTAAATTTTAATTTCAAGCTTTTAAGTTGTCTAGGTCAATTTCTAAGGAAATGGTAATAGCTGCTTTCTTCTGCGATTTCAAATTATTTTTTCTGTTCGTACTACTTTATTTGAATTGGGTTTCGTGTTTCGTTGAGTCTTAAAATTGTACATTCCAGGTCAGTTTTTGAAAATGACCTTGTTTTTTTTTTATTTTTTATTTATTTACTTGTTTTGCCATTATTATCCTGGACAAATTGGCCTATTTAACATTCATTTCAGATGTATTTAATGGTTAGTTCCGACTTGATTTTGGAAAGACAAACAATTTGATTGAGACATTTGTTAAAACCAGTTTTATACTTTCTTACAGTCATCTGAAATTGGAAGAGTTGTTCAAGTAATTCCAAAGTGTCCGGTTGCATAATTATGTATTCAGTGGCTGAAAGTAAAGGAGGCCTTTTAGAAGGAGCAAGCCTTTCATTAAATGTATGAATAGCAACTAGCTACTTTGCAGGGTAAGTTTAATTTAGCCCATTAAAGTATGCAGATAACCCTCAGATAGGGCGCATTGGGTGTTTCGTAAGTATGTTTATTTGGATGCTCCTCGCACGGGTGCATTTTGGAAAAAAGGGGAGGCAGTGAAATTTGATTTTGTGTGCGCATATGGTGTGACCAATTTGATTCCGATTTCGCCCCAACCTGATATTCGGATGTAACCCCAAACTCTCTACGGACCCTACTTGAAGAGATGTTGCCTCAGTGCGCTTGTTAGCTCGGTGCTCAAATATAATAAGCCCCTCCCTAGCTTATAATTCAGTGTGTGGTATAAAAATATGACGGCAACAAAATCCTGCAAAGCGACTTTTATTGCCTGAATATTAGCTGCAGTTTCACTGACAACGACCTGCTCTTTACTCTACCACATGCAGAATTATTGAAATACACAACGGGTAAATTGCTTTTATATTGATCAAAAAGCCTTTTTCACATTTTCCCATCATTGAATCATGTGTCACTTTTTGATAGCTGCGCATATGACTTTTGTTTTCAGTAATTCTATTTAAACTTACACACCTATGCGCTTGCAATTGAAATTTGCCAGTATTGCGAAGAAATTGTCAAAATTGAACCCAGTAATGTGTAAATACGTTAAAAGACATCTGGAATTTGCTGGAAAATGGTAAATAAAAGGAGTGAAGACTGAACTATGCGGAAATGAAATTTTCTGCTCTTTAATTTGATACCAACTTATCAGGCGCCAAATATTTGCCTGAATTCGAAACCCCTTATTTGAAACTCAACCTGAAATCTATAACTTGATCTAATCCTACGTCTTATTTTTATACTTTTACGTTATACAGCATGAAGCTAGTTATGGCGAGTGATCAAAGCGAGTTTGAGGTAATGCCTTCTTTTCCTTTTTGATGTGCACTAAACGTAAAATTTGCCGATCTCCTAAAAATTAATTCCTGTTCAGGAACTTATAATTATGTTAGTGTTCGGTCTTAGAAACTTATCACTATTTTCATTTTTTTGTTCGTGTTATCTCTATTGCCGTTTTTTTGTTCACTTTTTTACTGAAAACCGGAAAAAAGTCCGACCAGTTTTTATCCAAATTGAGCCGATAGTTTGAGTTTTTGTAGAGTCAAAATCACGGTTGAAGGGCTTTAATTTGAGTAAAACCGACAAATTTTGTTTAAAACTGTCAAAAAGCTTTCGTAAAAAACATGTTAAAATGAATGGATGCCTTATTAGTGGTTTCGGATTTAGTTTCAAATCTGAAACCTTGATTTTCCTTTTTATTGTTCCGACTTACATACATAACGAAAGTAACAGAATATGTGCGCTCGGGGTGAGTTTTTTCTTCAGGCAAAATTCGACTTTTTAACTAGACATTTAGACAAAATTTTTTAAATTCATTCAAAAGCTATTGTTGTTTTGAGCTTAAGTTTGAAAAGATATTTCACCCGTGATTATTTTTTGTGAAGTTATTGTAGTTTTGATATTGCCATTTTGTCCAATTTGGGACAATTAATGCGCGATATATTTCGCGCTATTAACGAGTAAGCAGAGATTTAATCCGTCTTCTAAATCGTTTCAAATTGGCTCAAGGAAGCTTATATGCCATAATTGATTTTCCAATAAGAGCAAAATCTGCCACTGTGTATTTAATATGGCGGGTGGGTTTTTTTTTAAAAAAAATCTGATTTTTTAATTAGTTTTATTTCATTACATTTAAAATTTTCATGTTATTACTGCTCCATAGACCTTAAAAGGCAATCGGAACTTTCAGCAGTCTTGTTGATACGAGCAGTCTTGTTTACTTTTTGTGCTATATCCTAGCTCATTTGTAGCAGAATCTCCCAACCGCCGAAATGTGTTTCTCAAACTTGATAAACGCGTCGGAAAAAGCGCTTGAAAATCACAAGTTTGAGAGTTTATTTATAAATTTTTTTTGAGATTAGGTGGGCTAGAACTATATTTTGAGAAAAAATTGCTCGTGAAAATATTCGAAAATTTTGTAAGCCGCTAATTCAGCTAAAAATAATTGAAGAGTACAAAACGAACAAAAACTATTTGCTTGAAATTCTTATGTTATACTTCAAGAATAACAGTTATATCAGAACAAACAAGGATCTAAATTTAAATTTCATGCAAAAAAAAATTCAGATCTGAAAATCTACGATAGAGATACGGAACTTCAAAAATTTCTGACGATAGAAATAGACAAAACTTTTTGTATACAACTCTGAGCGCCTAATTGTTCCCACTGCACTTTAATAAAAACTTTTAAGGCAAAACAAATGAAAAAATAACTGATAAATTGTTTAAATAAGTTGATTAATTTCATTTTTCTTCGTTCTGTCTGAGTCACATACTTTGAAGTAATAACGTCTTGTAATTTTCAAAAAATAAAAATGACTCAATTACTGGCCTCAATTAATGCTGAAACAATTTAATCCACCGCGATAGGTGTTGTAAGTGTTATATCGCACCTCAATTAGCCCAATTTGGACAATTTGTTAATTTAACAAAAATTATCACAGGTTAACTATAGGGGGGTGTTCAAAAGTGCCGAAGTACAACAGAACCACAATTGAAATTGTGTTCAATAGTCTACAAAATTGAGTTTTTTTATGAATCATTCGCAGCTTGGCCTAAATTTCGTTTTGTTTTTGAGCGAAATCGAGAAGTACCATTTGCTGAGATAGTTTTTGTTTCAGAAAAATTTCTGACGCCGCGCTTGGGGAATTTTTGTGGAAACTTTTGTTTGTTTAACAAGCGGCATCACTTAAAACGGCATTCAAAGCAATTTTCGCACTGTTGAACTATATTTTGATTTTCGGCACTGTTGCACTTCGGCACTGTTGTACAGCCCCAAATTATACCAATGTTTGAATTTCAGAAAATATTATCTTTCGACTGTTATACAACTTTTGCTAACAACGCATAAAAAATGATCTTTTTTTCCTAATAAAAAACCCCCCCAAAGCATAATTATTCTACACTTTGTTCAAAAATAGGATTAAAAACTTACATCTGAAAATCGACTGATGAGAAAATAAATCATTTCAGATTATCCTTATTAATTCTACTCAGTAGGTATTGCCATAGTTCCTTCTCAATCCTTGTAGGGGTCAGAACAAAAAAGCAAGGTCTGACCTAGATATTTCCCAATAGGTAACGAATTCCGTTTTAGAAAAAAATTAGGCTTTATATTTTTAACGTTTGACCACTTCTATCAAACACATTTTGTTGTAACTTGACAACAGGCTCATCTCACTGACTAGTGCTTTAATCGGATCTCAATTCCGAGCTTGAAATCTCTTTCTTTGCTAATTTTGTCATAAGTCGTTGACCTGACGATTATTGACTTGCGAAAGAAAAGTCTCCGCGTTGAAAAATTTATTCAGAGTAGAAAAATATCAAAAGAGCAATAAACCTTTTTAAACACCAGTTTCTGATGAATTTAACAACCTCCTTTGATCGTTTTCATCTACAAAAGCAGAAAATGTTTTTAAAATAAAAAAGGTATTCAATTTTTTAGCTAGTTTTTTTTTCAGTTCTTAAAATTTTATCTTCTGTGGTTGAAACGGGCGTGAATCTATCATTTTGCTAAATTCTATAGACTTTTTAGAAAAAAGTATGATGAAAACCTTGTAAACTTTAAAAAAATATATTTTAAAAATTAAATGTTGCTTTTCCATCTTCATCATCAGGCTTAATGTTTCTCTCTGCCCCATAATATATATAGTTTAGCGCTATTTGATTTCTTTCTTGAGAAACTCTACCTTTTGAAGTAAATTTGGGGTCTAAGAAATAAGACGACAAGAAATTAGACGACTGTAAAGAAACGGAATTTACGGACAACCAGTATTTACTCAGCCAACATTTAATTTACGACTGTAAAATAATTTTACGCAATTTGCTCGCAAGTTATTGTCCAAATTGGACAACGAGTATTTACTCAGTCAACAGATAATTGAAGTCTGTAAACAAGGTTCACGCGAGTTATTGTCTAATTTCTGTTATTTTCTGATCGTCTAATTTGCTTGTCGTGTAATTTGCTAACCCCCAGTAAAGTTATTACATGCCGTAATAACGATAGATTAAACAAAAGGATTTTCTGCTAAATTAGAAATGGGTAACCTATTTTTGGTAACAGGGTAACCAAAGAGTCCCTTTTTTGTATCCATTTTAGGCCTATCAATCCTAAAGTTTTTGTATCTTACTAACTTATCTTTGAAGGGAAGTGCGAAATTGCCCAAAAACAGATTTTTGACCTGTTTTTTTTTTCAAACATTTGCCTGCAGCACAAAACTCCTGGTTAAAATAGGTTCTTTAAATGTTCTGGGAGTGCTCGGAAAATCAATTTGGTCAAACTAAAAAAATATCAACAAAAGTTTCAAGAAAATTTTTTGAAAATCCGTTTTCCCTTGAGAAAACTTAGATCTTAGATACGCCCCTGGTTACCAGCCATATGATCACCTAATTCTATTTTTAGGCCAGCTTTTTTGGTCAACCAACAGTAAAATTTGGTGCCTATAAAAACTAATTTTGGGAAGATTATGTTCTCGTAGAAAGAAAACAAAACTCTTGATCAAAATGTTTCAAGCAGCGTGATGGCGAAAAATCTACGTGCGACTGAAAGTCTTTGAGGCAAAAAAGGCATTTTAACAAAAAAGGGAATTTTGAGGCATAGGAGCATGATGGGATAGTAAATTAAAAAAGACCAAAAACATGTCTAAAATTAACCTAATTCAAACAACTTGAGCGCTGGAAAAATCATGCTTTTTCCTTGTCCGGATTTTTTTAAAAAACCTGCTAGAGTTATTTTCAGATAAGTCAACTTAATCAAACATCCAACTGAACTCGGTACAACTGGCAGTCGGTACTCTCCGCTTAAAATGGCCAGTCGGATAGCTCGCAGTCGGACATGTCCAGTCGGACATGTCCAGTCGGACTTATTCACAGTCGGATCGCTTAGCAAAAACGATTCCCAGTGCAAGAAAATGAAGATTAGACTATATTCTATACAAGATTTTTTTGACTGTGCCTCTTAACAAACAGACTGTAAAAGAGACAAAGTTTTTAAAAATTTTTATTAGTTTTGTTCATGACTATTATTCATTGCGAGCAAAATACTTTTATTCTCTTGGTAATAAAAATATTTTAAAGATAGTCAGTTTTTCACAATGTAATTTAACTCTTAGCTTTAGAGAACTAAGGGGCAGGCTTAAGATTTTTACGAATAGGTGAGCTCAAAGCAATTTCCTAATTTTGACCAAAAAAAAACTGGCTTTCCCAGCTATTCCAAACCACCGAGAAAGACCAGCATTGGCAAAAAAAAGTTCTGCTGCATGCAATCTTGTTGCAAAAACGTGCAAGAAACGTCATTTCAGAACTCTTTTTAAAATGTTTAGACCAAAAAGTCGCGGTTTTTCGTTGCTCGATCCCGCCCTAAATTTCGTATATCTCGTTCTGCGAAAAGTTGGTGTCATAATGAAATAACAAAACAGAAAAAAGGGTATTTTTGAATAATGAGGGACTCAAGTTCCCGAGGAGAAAGAATATCCGTCTTTATCTTTCTCCCTAAATCCGCTCCTCGGAGTAATGCCGTTTATGGGCTTTTCTGAAAGATTTTGACCCAAAACTGCGTTTAACGGAGCCGAACACCACATTATATGAACTTAAGGCGCCTTCAGTAAAAAAGGGTCAGTCAGCCGAACATGGAGGTCGTATATTAGTACCAAGGGGGCACCCTTGAAGTGTGAGACAATCAAATTCCTGAGGCGTGGGGGCATCCGCCCCTGTCTACGGGACAAAATGTTTGCATTATCCTTCCTTTTTATTCAAACAGCATACCTAGCAGGGTTTTTATTAAGTGTCAGTTTTGAAAT